ACTTCAATTGCATTTTCACACGGATTTTTGAAAGTCTCTGTATATAACTAAATAAGTGATATGCAAATTTGCAAGAAGCTGGGACTTCCTATATTTTGTATCCTTTCCCCCTTTTTGCCACCTCTAAATTTTACTTGTTATTTACACGTGTGCCCTTAATACATATTTGTTTATAAATTTTTCTGACAAGGACATTTATGTTTTAATATTCCTTTGCTTCTGTTGACCGACAAGGACCTTAACACATTCATTGAACTTCCTCTTCCCACCCAAACTTGTAACTGTTTTCATATTTTAACTTTTAAATTATGATAGTTTATTGACATTTTTAATTAATTGTTATATTTTTTGGTAATCTTTTAAAATACACTTTTTTTCTTGTAAAATATCCTTTATATAGTGGGTAAGGGTATGAACACTTGAGTCAGACTTCCTAGATTTGAATCGGTTCTGCCACTTGTTTTGTGCCTCAGTTTCCCCATGTAGAATGGGTATATAATATGTGGGATCTTCCAAAAGTTCATGAAAAATACATATTCTGAAAAAGCTATGCATGGATTCCTTTTTTTTTTTTTTTTGCACCGAGACAAATTTATACTTAAATTCCATTTTTCCACTAACATTTTGGAGTCTCCTCTTAGTAATTTACCTATGTAAAATGGGAGTATGACTAGTGCCTAAATAAGAGGGGTCATGTGAGGATTTAACCCATACATATATGTAACTGTTTCTTATTGCTGTGGGAATTACCACAAATTTATGGCTTAAGTCAAATGTTTATTCTCACAGTTCTGGAGGGCAGAGTCCAATGTGGGTGCGCTGTGTGCCTGCTGGAGGCTCTGCGGAAGGCTCCATTCCCTTTGCTTTTTCCAGCTTCCAAAGGCTCCTTTCATTTCTTGGCTTGTGGCCCTTCTATCTCAAAGCTAGCAGCATCACATCTTCTCTCCTCTCTGACCTCTGCTTCCATATTTACATCTTCTTTCTCAGACTCTGATCTGCCTATCTTCCACTTGTAAAGACTCTTGTGATTATATCAGACCCACCTTGCTAATCCAGGAGAATCCTCATTTCAAAAATCTTTAATTGTATCACATCTGCAAAGTTCCTTTTACCAGGTACCTTTAAATTTGAATTTGCATAGTCGGATTCTGGAGATTTGAATGTGGACGTCTGTTGGGAAGACCATTGTTCCTTCTGCTATGCTATGTAACTCTAGGCTATTATTGTTTGGTTTTCTATAGAGTGCATGTACTCACAGGAAAGAGAGAGAGAAAGAAAGAACATGAGATCATCTCCAAGAAGAATGGCCATTCTGCAGTCCCTTCTCCTTCATTCCCTCTTGGGATTTTGGGCAGTTATGCACGTGTGCGTGGCATGTTTTTCAAACTGGCAGGTCTGGGACTTGAACTGTACAGTCTACTATGTGGGATACAGCTGCCTTAACCACCATGCCATCAGCTGATCCTCGGCTATTATTAATATTATACTGTTCCACACTTTTCTGGATTGCTTTTTTTTGTGTTTAAGTATATCCTTAATCCTTCTGCTAGTGAAGTTCTATGGATAATTTTAATCATTGTTAATATGTATTGAGCAATACTATAACTGAGTCTAAAATTTGATGGACAAGTATTTTCTTCCACATGTTGAAGATATTCGTCTCTTGTGTTTTGGCAACTATTGTCTAATAAACCAATAAACAGTAAGTTTTGGGCTTTTCCCCCTAATTTTATTTACTTATTAAGAAAGAGAGGCATCTTTGATAGGGTCTTACCATTCTACAATCCTCCCACAGCCTCCCAGACAGCTACGATCACAGGTGTGCCCAGGTATTCAGCTTGACCAATCTGGGGTCTAAACCCAGGCCTCTCTCGTGGCTTTGTTACCACTCAGGAGCAGTCTACCTGTGCCTCTGTGCTGGACCTTAAACTGGCATAACATTATTTCCATAGCATTCTGTTGGTCAAAGGAACTAAGATTAAATTTCAAGAGGAGAGAAAATAGACTCCACTCTTCGGTGAGTGAAGTGGCATGCATTCAACTTGAGGGAAGGAATTAACGGTAGTTATCTTTGGGGACTACAAAACACGTATATTTTGCAAATATCACCTCATAACATACGCCTTCTTTTTCCCAAGAAGCCCACTTCTTTTTTAAGAATTACTCATTTAATTTTATTTGTAATTATCATCATTTTAAAACTTACTATAAGGTACAAGCACTCACCAAAGAGGAACAGAGTGAAAGAGCAAGAAAGTGAAAAAGCAAGCTGCCAGGTCTAGAACTTGAACCGTGGTTGGCCAGGTGGGAATCCAGCACCTTAACCACCATGCTACCTGCTGGCCCTGAGAAGCCTATTCTTAGTCTGATTGTTTCCATCTTAAACTATCTTTGGTATTGTTACATCTCCTCTTTGTCTTTGGCATTCTGTAGTTTTACTATGTTGGATAAGTGTGTGTGTGTGTGTGTGTGTGTGTGTGTACACACATGAATGTATCTGCTCACATGTATTAATATATGCTTAGAATTTGTTAGATTTTATGAAACTGAAGATTAGTGACTGAATGACTCTTGGTCATTATATTTCCTAATTTCACTCTTCTTCCAAACTCTTCATTTGATTTATGTTAGATTTATCACTTTATCCTCTATACTATTTAATATGTCTTACATTTTTTTCATCATTATTCTTTTTTTTGGTAATTTACCTGAATAAAAATCAAGATACTGTATGGGAAAGGGAAAGAAAGAATGAGTACTGTATAGGAAACTTACTACAGTCAACCACAACTGTCATTATTTAAACATTTTAGAGGGTTTAAATCTCTCTTTCATGTAAACACATAGTAATGTTTTGCTTCTGATAATTGGAAGGTTCATGTATTATTTCGGTTCTTAATGATTTATAACATAATATGTTATATTCAACCCTTATTTTGTGATCTAGCATCATTGATTCCTCCCCATTGTTAAATAAATAGGAACACAATCCATGATGCCTCCTAATTTCAATTTTTATTGTTTATCATTTTTGTTCTCTTTATGGGTACCTTTATACCTTTTAAATAGATTTAAATTACTGTTATTTTATTTGTAAACCTTAATGAGTGACCATTGACCTCTGTATTCACAAGATAAGAAATTAAAGCACTTTTACTACTTAAAAAAATGTTTATGCTATCATTTCTATACTCACATTTAGACAGTAAAATAATTATTTTATAGTGAGTACAGAAACAAAGTTCTAGGGGCCAGCATATGGCATAATGGTTACGTCACTGGACTCCCATGTAGTTGACCGTGGTTCAAGTCCCAGCCCTGGTGGCTTACAAGTCATGCCAGGTGTTTGTGCATTCACACCCAAAATCTTGAGAGGAAAATGGAAGAGAAAGGATTGAGGCATGGCCATCTTTTTTGGGAGTTGATTGCTTGCTTTCTGTCTCTCTGTCTCTCTGGTAAGCACACACACCCTATAGCAAAAATCGCTCTCAAAAACAAACAAACAAAACCAAAGTTCTGTTCCATAATTGTAAGTTCTATAGTTGTTTTGAATTAGTTTCATATTTAAATAAGTTTAATGCTCTTACTATTATTTCTAAGTTTTCTCCCTTCATCTCTGCATTGGTGGGATTTGTTATAATGAACTTTTTCATTTTTAGATTTATTTAATTTTATTTATTATTATTTTTTTAATTAGGCCATTGAGAAAGTAAGGGAAAGTGTAAGCAAGCCATCAGGTTCAGGACTCAAACTGCAGTAGGCCATGTGGGAGTCCAGCGCCTCAACTACCATGCCACCTGCCGGTTCATATTATTATGAACTTCTTATAAGAAGGGCTCATGGCTAATTTCTTTTCTGAATTTTGCATATTTAAAAATGTTTTTATCTTCATGCTTAAATGAAAACTTGGCTCTGCATAACATTCTTAAATTATTCCTGTTTCCTTTTAGGAAATGTCCTGGCATTTGAATGTTGCTATGGAGAAGTGTGAGATTAACTTGATTATTTTTTATTTATTCTGATAGGGAAAAAAATTAACTCATGTTTTTTAGGCCATTTGATTAACAGTGATATTGAACAACCTTTCTTTCCTCTTTTTTTTTTTAGAGGTTTTTGCCTTAGGGCATGTACGCTTTTCAGAGAGAGAGAGAGACAGAGACAGAGACAGTGAAAGAAGTGAGAAATCATCCCCGAGAAGGGATGACCATGCTGCAATCCCTTCTCCTTCATTCTCCTCCTGGGATCTTGGACACACACGCACACACACCCGGTGTGAGTTTGAAGCCACCAGGTCTGATATTCAAACTGCTGTTGGCCATGTGGGAGTCTAGTGACATAGCCACTATGCCATCTACTGGCCCCTGAACAACCTTTCTTACATTTATTAGATGTTTACCGGTAGTGATGACAGCATGAATATATGTTACTCCAAAGTCGGAGCAGAAATTAGTGTTAGCATTTACTTAGCTGAAGGGGCTGGCAAATGGTAGCCATGGAGCAAGTCTGGCTTGCCACCTGTAAAGTCCAAGGATGGATTTTACAAATGTACATTTGCAGCCGAATTGGTGATCGGTTACACTAACTTTGAATTCCAGTTAAGTGAAATGGTACCCTTCCTACCCCAACAAAAACAAAAGAATACTTAAATCATTAATATGCCTGTATTGCAAAAAATTATATTAAACTATTATTGTTGCATATTGAATTTTATTCATCAATACAAATGTTGGTGGAAATTTGTTTTCTTTTTGTTATATGAGTACCTATGTAATAGTCTCAATTTTGCCTTTCGGCTCACAAAGCCTAAAATATCAACTCTTTGTCCCTTATCAGAAAAAGATTACCAACTCTTGCTTTATTGCAAATCCAGGATGGATTTGATTCAGGGATGTTTTTGAATCCAGTAAAATCTATCTTCCCTCAGATCTGTTCATCTTATCTCAAGGTGTGGGCCCTAACGTCCTACCCTTCTGTTCTTAACTGTAGTAAATACTCCTCCTATGACCATTCTTGGTACTTGGGTCCATGATTGGAACTTTTTCTTCTCCCTGAGTCTTATCACTATGTAGAATATCCTACATTGGTGCTGCATACATAATGTGGAGAGTTCTAGAAGTTCTCTTCCAGTAAGAACTACTTTTGCCTTTGGCCTGTTTCATCTGTCTCATTTGATATGTCTAAGCCACATTCACTTGCCAGTTAAAGTCTTTTCGATCCTACATTGTTTTTTAAGCTTACATTCTTGTCTTCTTATAGTACACCTCCATGTGTCGCATCATCTTTATCTGGTTATATATTTAGAAGAGATTCCTTTTTCTTCTTCTCTATATTTCAATACTTTCTTTTGTTCTATCTAGGGAGTACTGGTAGTTTATAGATGTGGTCTCAGTGAATGATGAAATTAGTTCAACAGATAGTTAAGCTACCAGTTCTGTTGATTTTCCTAAGTTCTTTCTGATAATTTTCTTTAAGAAAGTGTTTGATCTTAAAACATTATTTTTAAGTTGTATGTATATAGGTCAATCAATATAAAAAGAAAAACATTTGCCTTAGAGAGAAAGTTAAGAAATACGGCAATTTCCCTGGGAGGGATAAATAGCATAGTGAAAAGTCTGGAGATTATATTAAACACAAGAAACAATTGAGGTAACTGAGGTAGGAAGTCTAGCGAGAAATTTGAAACCGTATATGTGGCTTAAATACTGATAGTCATGGCTGTCATGTAATGTGAATTTTTTTTTTACAGTCAATTACTTCATAGTTTCTTTCAGAAAAAAATAAGAGACATTTATATCTATTGATCTGGCAACTGTAAATTGAAAGATGAACAAGAAGAGCAACACAAAACCCAGGTAAAAATAAGATAATAAAATGCTATTTTTCTTTTCCTTTCTTTTCTTTTCTTTTCTTTTTTTGTGCTTTACACTATCAGAGAATCTTCTCTAGTAATAAACTATAGAAATGATCTCTGAAAGCATAGTCTTTCTTTTTTTTTTTAGAGAGAGTTTTTTTTTTTTTTTCTTTTGTACAGGGTGCATGTCTTTCCAGAGAGACAGAGAAAGACAGTGAGGCAGAAAGTGAGAAATCACCCCTCAGGGGGGATGGCCATGCTACAATCCCTTCTCCATTTTCTCATTGGGATTTTGGGCACACATGCACCCCATGTGAGTTTCAAGCCTCCAGGTCTAGGACTCGAACAATGGTCAGCCATATGGGAGGGAATCCAGAGACATAACCATTACACCGTCTGCTGGTCCTGATAAAATATTTTTCTAAGGTGAGATTTCAACAATATATGGCTAGTGGGAAGCCATTCTGATACGTAACTTAAAATGTCACATAAGAACTGGTTGAGGACATTGGTGTTTAGGAAACCTTAATTTCATAGAGAGTAATTCCAGATGAGATAGGCAAATTAACACTGGTTACTGACTGCAGTTGCTTCCCCCAGAGCAGCCTTAAGTATGTCAAGAAAGTGAGAAGGAGGTTGATGGGTATGAGAAATTAACCACCTGGGAAATCTCAGGAAGCCAAAAGGTGGTTAGTTCTAGTCATGGACTATGGATAGAAAATGGCAACTCAGAGTAGGAGAAGGCATCACAGAGCAGATGTAGAACAGATGGGGGTGGGGGGACAGTGGGTAGCATGGTAGTTGAGCGGCTGAACCACAGTTCAACTACCATTGGTCCCAGATGGCCGACCACAGTTCAAGTCCTGGACCTGGCAGCTTGCTTTCTCATTTTCCCTCTCTTTGTCTCTATCTCTCTCCGTTCAAATTAGAAAATAATAATAATAGTAAATACAATTAAATAAATAATTCTAAAAAAAACAAAGAAGGAAAAATGGAGGTTATGTTTTCTTTTATTCTTTCCACGTTCTTCTGGGTAGATCAGCATCTATCCTATCACCACTGCAAGGTAGAAAAAGAGCGCCACCAGCTGTTTCAACCAGAGAATGGGGGAATATTACAACCTCAACTCTCAGTATGAGCGAAGGGGAGGGATGAAAAAATGGATGACTTTACCCAAGCATTGTGGCTACTCTGATGTTTATTGTCTTATGCTAAAGTTTGTTAAGATCTAGTTAGCATTTAGATTCTCCATGTAAATGTTTCAGATCTGCTTTTCAAAGTACCTTTCAGAAAATTGCTTGAACGAATAGAATATTATATGGTATTGAATATTAACCGTAGCATTTATTTAAGAAGCTGTGTCCATTTTTAATGTTAAATTTTTGGTAACATGCTAACAACTCAATTTTTAGTATGATTAATCATTTTTTAATAATGTTTTCTTTTTCATATTAGACTTTTAAAGTATAAAAGGCCAAAATACAAAGATGTCATATTATCAGAGAATCGACAGACTGAAATACCAGAAAAAGAAACATCAAAATATAAAACAGTTAGAACATTTTCTCTGTCTTTAAAGTCAGAGAAAACAGAAGACATTTATGAAGATTACTATATAGGTATGTTGATTTATGTTTCCTTTTTCGAGAGATTTTTGCTATAGGGCGCATGTGGTCGCCAAAGAGACTGAAAGTGAGAAATCACCCACCAGAGGGGATGACAATGCTGTAATACCTTCTTTGTTCTCCTCTTGGGATTTTGGGCATGTGTGCACATGTGCCCAGTGTGACTTTTAAGAAACCAGGTCTGGGACTCAAACCATTGTCAACAATATAGGAGTCCAGCGACGTAACCATTGTGCTATCTGCTGGTCCTGATTTCTGTTTCTCTCATGAAGATGGTAAGAAGTTTCTCATGGCATTAAAATAAGAATATCTTGAAATACTAGAGTACTTTTAAAATATAAGGTTTGGTATTTTACTAATTTCATTAGTCATAGAAAAGCATGTTTCTTTAAGGGAAACAATCTAAATACTGATAATAATGATGAAAATAACAACAGAGATCTCACTAACACCAAGAATATCTGACATTGCTATCATATATATCATCTCAGTTTAGTTGTTGTTTGTTTGTTTTTGAGGTAGAAACTTCCAAGATGGGCCTGCATCCTCTCAAGTCCCCAGAGCCTTCTGATTGAGTTGTGCCTTTCTTTGTTACCTTATCTCCAAAGTACCTTTCAGAAAATTGCTTGAACGAATAGAATATTATATGGTATTGAATATTAACCATAGCATTTATTATATTTAAGAAGCTGTGTCCATTTTTAATGTTAAATTTTTGGTAACATGCTAACAACTCAATTTTTAGTATGATTAATCATTTTTTAATAATGTTTTCTTTTTCATATTAGACTTTTAAAGTATAAAAGGCCAAAATACAAAGATGTCATATTATCAGAGAATCGACAGACTGAAATACCAGAAAAAGAAACATCAAAATATAAAACAGTTAGAACATTTTCTCTGTCTTTAAAGTCAGAGAAAACAGAAGACATTTATGAAGATTACTATATAGGTATGTTGATTTATGTTTCCTTTTTCGAGAGATTTTTGCTATAGGGCGCATGTGGTCGCCAAAGAGACTGAAAGTGAGAAATCACCCACCAGAGGGGATGACAATGCTGTAATACCTTCTTTGTTCTCCTCTTGGGATTTTGGGCATGTGTGCACATGTGCCCAGTGTGACTTTTAAGAAACCAGGTCTGGGACTCAAACCATTGTCAACAATATAGGAGTCCAGCGACGTAACCATTGTGCTATCTGCTGGTCCTGATTTCTGTTTCTCTCATGAAGATGGTAAGAAGTTTCTCATGGCATTAAAATAAGAATATCTTGAAATACTAGAGTACTTTTAAAATATAAGGTTTGGTATTTTACTAATTTCATTAGTCATAGAAAAGCATGTTTCTTTAAGGGAAACAATCTAAATACTGATAATAATGATGAAAATAACAACAGAGATCTCACTAACACCAAGAATATCTGACATTGCTATCATATATATCATCTCAGTTTTGTTGTTGTTTGTTTGTTTTTGAGGTAGAAACTTCCAAGATGGGCCTGCATCCTCTCAAGTCCCCAGAGCCTTCTGATTGAGTTGTGCCTTTCTTTGTTACCTTATCTCCCACTGTCCTGACTGCTCCTCCACAGTAGTCCATTTTCCAAGTCATCCTTCTTTCTCCCTCGCCCCAATTCTACAATTTCCAGTATTTTAGTTTACCACACTATCTCTTCCTCTTATGTTTACTTATTTCTTCCATGAAAAAGAGAGACAGAGAGAGAGAGAGAGAGACTCCCACTAGAGTCTTGACATTGCAATCCAACCACAGCTTTAGCCAGCCTTTGGCCAGCCTCAGGTCATGGGCGCACACATGCCCTGCATTCTCAGGGAGGTCTCTAGATACCAAGCTGGCACTTTTGCATGTGGGTCTGACTTTATGTTATTACTGTGCCACCATCTGGCCTGCCACAACCTTATTTATTTATTTATTTATTTTCTTTTAAGGTTTTTGTCATAAGGTGTGCGTGCTTGCCAGAGAAAAGGAAAGTGAGAAATCACCCTTCATGGAGGATGGCCGTGCCACAATCACTTCCCCTTCATTCTCCTCCTGGGATTTTAGGCAAACACGCATACATGTCTGGTGTGATTTTCAAGCCACTAGGGTCCAGGACTCAAACCATAGTTGGCCATGTGGTAGTCCAGCACCTCAACCACCATGCCACCTGCTGGCCCCACACAATGACCTTTTTTTTTTTTTTTTATAAGAGAGATTTTTGCTATAGGGCACATGAGCTTGCTAGAAAGTCAGAGAGAGATAGAGAGACAGAAAGCAAGAAATCGCCCCCAGGGAGGATGGTCACGCCTTCCCTCCACAATCCCTTCTCCTCCAGTCTCCTCTTGGGATCCTGGGCACACAATCACTGGCACCTAGCATTGAGTCTCAGGTCTGGGACTCGAACTGCAGTTGGCTACACGGGAGTCCAGTGACATAACCATTTTGCCATCTGCTGGTCTGCACAATGGTCTTTTTAAATCCAGTCTTTTATGTCCTCAATTTTATAAGCTTCCAGCCTCATCAGCAATGCTCATCTCAGGGAATAACTGTGTCTTTTCTCCTTTAAGGCAAGTCCCATCTCTTCATCCTGGAAATCCACTTCTGCCATGTCCTCAGGAACTGGCAGTCCATCAGTTATCTTCATTCTCTCTTCCTTTCTATGAACTCTTCCTGCCAGCACAGAAACATGCTACATGCTTAACCTTCTTCAACAAAATGAAACAACCCAGAAACATCTTCAGTCTTCTGTTTTTCCTCCTAGTTCCCCCCATGCAATCAGACTTCTTGTTTAAGAGCAGCCTGGACTTCCCACCTCCACTTCATTATCCTCAGCTCTAATTCAGTCAGCCTGGATTCTGAGTTCCTCACCCTCACTTCCAACGTCACTATATACCTCCTTGTCACTAAATTCTTATAAAAAACAATTTATAAATAAAATATTCTTTATTTTCCTTCACCAAACTGCAGTAAAATATTTTTAAAAATTCTTTCGATCACTGATTTTATTTCTTTTCTCTTGACTTTTAAGAAAAACTCCCTTGGCTTTCTTTCTGCTTTCCTGTTTACTCTTTTTTTTTTTGTCTTTTTTCTTTAGTTTCTACTCCTCAGTCTACTTTTTATATGTTGTTGTTCCTCAAATGTTTTAGGGTCTGCCAAAAATCGGTGTTCCCTCTCCTCCCTGGACTAAACCATACTTTGATTATTTTTGATAATGTATTACTTGTATCCCTATTCACCTATGTATATATCACACACACACAACTACATAAATATATTAAATACATAAAATGAAATATGCAAGGTCTTCAAAAAGTTAATGGAAAATGAATATTATGAAAAAAAGTTATACATGGATTTAAAAAAAAATTGCACCAAAATAAATTTGTACTTTAATTCTATTTTTCCAAGAACTTTTTGAAGTATCTGTGTGTGTGTGTGTGTGTGTGTGTGTGTGTGTATTTCAATAACATTTATGTAATATTTGTAGTTGCTTCCAACCTCTGTCTAAAGATGGGTACACTTTATTTCTTGAAAAAGCCTGAGCTCCAGAACTCTGGTCTTACAAAGCTTCCCAAACCAAAAAGTAGAAATGCTCTTATTCTTTTGTTACTTTCCTCAGGAAATAGAGAGCAAAAATATAAGGTCAGGTAGGAATATAAGGATCAGACAAAGCAAGGACTTTGTGGGCCATATTAAGGAATGTTGTCATTATGCTTTGAAGATAGGAGTCATAAAAAGCTTTTAGTAAGGAATTAACAGTATCATATTTCTGTTTTCAAAAGATCTCTCTGGGGACCAGCAGTAATGGCTATGTTGCTGGACTCCCAAGTAGTCAACCGTGGTTCGAGTCCCAGACCTGGTGGCTTAAACGCACGCCAGGTGTGTGTGCATGCGTGCCCAAGGTCCTGAGAGGAGAGTAGAGAAGAAGGGATTCCGGCATGGCCATCCCCCCTGGGGAGTGATTTCTCACTTTTTGTCTGTCTCTCTCTTCCTGGCAAGCACATGCACCCTATAACAGAAACTTCTAAAAAAAAAAAAAGAAGAAGAAAGATCTCTATGGTTGTACACTAAAAAATAGAAAGGGAACAAAGACTAACATAGGGAGACCAGGGAGGAGGTGCTAGATATTTCTAGGGTGGAATGATCAGGAGGTGTCAAACATGGTACCTAGGCTTCTGGTTTATTTAATATAATGAGCAGTGGTGCTATTCACTAAGATAGGAAGCCCTAAAAAAAGTCAGGTAAGAAAGATCTCTCTGGTTGTACACTAAAAAATAGAAAGGGAACAAAGACTAACATAGGGAGACCAGGGAGGAGGTGCTAGATATTTCTAGGGTGGAATGATCAGGAGGTGTCAAACATGGTACCTAGGCTTCTGGTTTATTTAATATAATGAGCAGTGGTGCTATTCACTAAGATAGGAAGCCCTAAAAAAAGTCAGGATTTGTGAGGCCTGAGAGAGGAATCCCGAGTTCACTTCCGGACATGCTGAATTTGGAGTAACTTTGGTACATCCCAGTGGAGATGCCTAGGAGGTACTTGACTGTATGTCGGGAGCTCAGAGAAGTAAGAGCTGAGATGATATAGTTGGGAGTAATCATGTTGGTGGGAGTTTAAGTCATGGGCATGGGTGAGATTGCCTCAGGAAATATACAAAATGAGACAAAAACAGAGGCAAGGAACTATAGCAATGAGAAGTTAGAAAAAGGAGAGCGACTGCAAAGGACATGATATTGTTCAGAGAATTAGGCTGAATTGGATAATAGAAAAAAATGCGTGTGCTCTGTCACAGAAGTCAAAGCAAACTACTGCATCAAAAAGGAAACAGTAGTGTTGTGGTAACAGGGAAAAAAAAAAAGGAAACAGTAGTTAAGATATCAAATAACACTAGTAAGACAAGTAATGAGGTACATGAATTACTATGATATTATTTATAGCTACTCATGCACACTTAATAATGGGTTTATTTCCAGATTACCTTAAAGAAAGAATAACTCGACAACATATAGCTGCTCTCGAACTAGCTTCGCAGAAGAAGAAAGAGACATCAAAGAGAAAAAGGGATCAAACACAGGCTTGTCCAAATGTTAGGAAGGCCCGGCTTAGGTCTTTTGAAAGAACAGGT